TTCCCCCTTGTATCACTGGCCCGAGTATACTTCACCATTGGCACATGCCTCTCTGCTTTACACATATACTCGTACTTGTAGACCGAGGTGGTCATTTCCCGACCGCCTCCTGGCAAGGTACCAGAGCCATGGGCGGGAGGAACAGCAGTTCAAAGCGGTCCCTGTAGATGCAACTATGCCCAACCCGGTAGGTAGAAGCAGCACCCCGTAGTCGTGAACCGGAATCAGCTCCGTGTGCGTTTGACGAATCTTGAATCTCCTCTGATCAAGGCACGCGAAGCAGCGGCTTCTGCGTTCTCTCCGTAACTAATGCCCCACCGATTGCTTCCACAATCGAACAAGGGATTGAAAACCACTAGTCATCGTAGCCAGGCAATTTCAACCGGTGCCTGTACGACAGGGTCCCTAGGGCCTTGGACTTTGTTCAGGACAGAAATGAAGTATTTGCGTCAACCAGTGGCTCTCGCCCTCGAGGCACCGCCATCGTCTGTTTTTCAGAGCAAATGACGTCGATAGTGCGCCCTCTCGTAGTTGTTGGCTGTGGCAATGGACTTTGTCCGTACCTCATCTCGATCCGGCCCGAACAACCCGGCGCTGGATCTCGTTTCGGTCCGCCCTGCTTTCGCTTTGAGGGAAATCCGGTGTTCGCCTGTTGACAAAAAGCATCCAACTCTCCAGCTTCCCTCTCCCTCGAGCCGCCCTGTCCATCAGTCGGCCGACGTGAAAGGCTCCACATCCAGCCCCAAGCCGAGCCACCTGATCCCTCTTACTAGTTATTCAGCCTTGTCCTCGGCTGTGGTACAAGTACCCATACGAAAGCACCCGCAACTAGCCTTCAGCTCAGACCTGTTTTTGTTGTTGGCCCAGATGTCCGGGCTGGTCCCACCCCAGAGGTTTGATCCGCGTACCCAGCGGCACATCCAGACGAGCTACGTCAAGAATAGGATAAGCAAAACCCTCGACTAGAGCCTCTGGTGTGTCTGAATGCTGAAAGCGCCATACATCGCTGAGGGCCCAACAGACAACCCCATACTGTATACACTCGTGTACTGTAGGTATGGCGTGTGCTCTGTGAGAACTTGCAAAGGTGATCGGTGATTGAGCCTCGATTCAATCTAATTAAACAATTCCCCTAAATCGGCGGTTCGCTCCGCTTTGGCACTAGCCAGGAGGTTGGGCTCTCTTCAGTCTTGCCCCCGGTTCGTGCCCGTTTCCACGATAGGCAGCACCTCGGCTGTCTGTCAATGCAGGGGCAGTATGATTATTTGGCATTAGCATTGGTGACAGTGAGCTGACAAGAAGAAGCGACAAAGACAGTTCGCACATAACATCATCCGTGAAGCAATCATCGTCACCTTCGAGAAGTGTCAATTAGAGGCTGATACATGACTTTGGCCAATGGAGTACCAAAGTGCCTCGTACGTACAAACCAATGCACACCCTGTACTCTGCGTGCAAAAGAGCTTACTCGACAGTCTTTAGGCGAATACCCGTTCGTTGCACGGCCAGTTCCCAGTAGCTATACAGGTCCGTTTGTCAATTGTTTTAGTTTAATTAAATCAGCCTCTGAGCAAAGAATATCAGAAAGGGAGCAAGATGAATAAGTGAAATGATAAAAAAGAAGAGTGAGATATGATAGACTCACGCCCTCGTGCCAAGTCTGTCAACGGGTGTGCAATCTTGCCATACCATCTGCTTAACAGACCCAATAGAGAGAATGAGGGGGACAATGAGGGAAAGAGAGACATGCTTTTGTTCGATTGGTCCATATGGCATTGAACATTGGAGACGTCAACGCAAGGGAGAAATGTTCCACTTCAGCTGCTACGTACTATGCTCTGTAAATAAGTAGAGGTTAGCAAGACGAGGACGAAGCACCGGGTAGTACGTACCTCATATCTCGTACAATCAGTATATCTGCTACTTCTACTCCGTATTTCATTAGCAAAAGATCCCGTCGTTCTATGTTACGGAAGCATGGCGCACATTGGTAAAAAGTCTCAGCCGCGGCAGAGCACCTCACACGGAACAAAGCTAACAAGCGTGATCCTTGGGCGCGGGAGCGCCCTCTCTCCCGGCCGCCAGGCTTTCGGCATCGCTAAGGGTGACTGTGGTCCGAGCATAGAGATCTGCCTGTAATCTGGTAGATAAGCCGGGGGGACTTGTCAGAAGCTCCTAGTCCAAGTTCGCTGGGCCGAGTGCCGTATCATCGTGGCGTGAGCCCCTACCTCTCTCCATATTAGAGCCTCATCTTCTCGCTCCTCCTTGTCACGATCCATAACTGGTAATCGTATTTCCGCGTATGCTATACCTCAATTGTTCAGTAGCCTGTCATGCCGTGAACAAGCCACCAAATGCATACTGGGATCTAGAGGGAGGCCAGCAAGCCACTTCACCCGTCCATCTAAGTCTCCAGACAGGCCCAGCCCGCTAAAAAAAGCGCCGTCGCATGGTTAGCCGACAACACGGCAGATATCCATTGCTAGGCGCCCCTCCCATTTCTCCCTCCGAGTCCTACTGTTCGTCTCAATTGTCATTGATCCTGGCTCGCAAATCGAGCATGAGCGCCGAGTCCCTGCAAGAGACAGTCTCGAGACGCCTGCAAAGGCAACCCAATGTGGACAAGTTGCGCCATCTGTAAATCGCCATAGGTCCTCCCGTGCATATAGGGTCGCAGTAGCACTCCGTCCAAGTACATCTTAGCCAGCCTGCATTGATGTGGTTTTTTCGTCTTGGTCGCTCTGGTCGCTATCCACAGTATTCCAACGATTGGTGCGAGTGTGTACAGATGGAGTCCGGCCGGGTGGCCCACCTTCCCTCATTGCGATGCTCCATCGTGTATGGCATGCTGGGCCCTCTCTCTGGGTGGTATCCAAGAGACTGATGTCGAGGAGAACAGACAAAGACATGCCGCGTGCGACCCATACACGGACCAGCCCAGAGGGTGTGCGGGAGATGCTGCTAACCCGCCGATTCTCTCATCCTCCAACCTTCATGTCAGGCAGAAGGTTACACACGATGGTTCTCTTTCACCAAAAGGGGAAATGAGGGGCTCTCTTTTGGACACCAAGTCTGTATCCTTGCAGCCCCTTCATCCTGCGTGAGTAGTGTACCTTCGGATGTCGCAGAACGCTGCCGTGATACTGTTTGCTTACCTCGCCTTACTACGCACAGCCTAAGGAACCCAAATCCGGCCGGAGATGCGTCTGCCTGCAGCCTCTTTGTCTGTGTAAACAGGTACATCACAGCCAACTCCCTACAGGTACCCAGTAATAGCTGCAACATGTCGTCCGTACAGGTACTCCGTACATGCGTCCAATACGACCACACTTGTAGGTAGCCATGCATGCTGAGGCATTTGTCCGTGCGCCGGATGGCTATTCGCACATGCGAGCCGTCATGCACACCTTAAAGAGCGGTACGAGTATGTACCAAGGCTATTGTCGGTCTGCACTTGCTGGGATGGCGAACATGCGCTGGAAGGGGAAAGAAAGCCAAAGACACAGCGAGGATCCCCTCAATCCTATTGTTTCCACATGGGCCAATGAAGTAGACCTGCCTTCTTTGCTTTCATGCGGCCGCCATCATTGGCCTCGGTAAGAATAGAATGTGCCATCAAAAGAGGCGTGTCCAGCCAACCAGCCTAGCTCCGGGACAAGTCTGATGGCCTATCATTCTCATACACCCAATGACGACAGTTGGCTGTCACTTGAATCATGGCAGAAATGATGAAGAGCGGGCGTAGTGCGAGATCTGACATGTCAGCTAGTCTTGTGAGCAAAACCACGGTGAGACTTGGCGACTAGAGTTCGTAGAGTTTGATATGGCGCTGGCTACCCTGCAGTATGAGGTTGCCCTAGTAGACATTTTGTGTTTAGTCTTCGCCTCCTTTTGTTCCACGATAAGAGCAAACAGAGTGTTCTGTACTTTATGATATGGCATATTTTGCGTTGGTGGTATGAGTAAGCCCAGCAAGGGAGTGCGATGCTACTAAACCGTACTCCGTAGTGCCCTAGCAGTTAGTCTGGAACGATCGCGATCCATTCCACATCGTCCCGCACCACCTGTCCACGGACCTGTCCAAAGTGACACAAGTCTAGCTGCCAAACTAGTCAGACGCAAGTCCGCTGTTCAAACCGAATGACTGAGTGCTCTCTTCCCAATGAAGCGGGTAGACATACTCCGCTTTGGTCGTACATCGTCTCATGTCACTACGCAACGCTTGGTAATTCTGAGCGACACTCACGAGCTCAGACGACGATGCGTACTGCTATGCTCGTGCCACGCCATCATCCGAAAGAGAGCCTCATCAAAGAGCCTGCTCGACAATCTTGGTGCTAACCAAGAGTAGCATTGCTCCATGCTATGCAGGAGAGGGCGGCACAAGACGAATCGTACTGAGGCTGATGGGAATCTTAATGCTGCTGATGCACAACCTTGTCACCATGCAACCCGTCGATTCCCGTCTCAATTTAACGTTGCACAACTCTCCGCAAGGCAACACCACATCCGTTTGCTGATGAACCTAGGAAGTAAATCGTGTTCCAGTAAGTTTTCTTCTTGAAGAATTGGCCGCCTCCTCTCCTTCTCCCTTTGCGAGTGTAGTCGTGCAGCCTCGGTGCTCATCGCCACTCACCGCATGTGATGAGTTGTCGCTCAATGTCGCTGCATTCTTCCTTTGCAGATGCACCCCCTCCTCCGCCTCATCGCACCCACTCAACCTTGCGTAAACACATTTGATTGACTGTCTGCATTGTGACAGTGACAAGTCTGACCTGCCTGCAACTCGTGCTGTTATACAAATCAAGGGAACGCGGCCTTCCGCATGCCCCATACAATCAGCCCATCATTAAAACATGTACTGTCTTAGAGTGCCCAAGGGGCCGGCAAACCGTGCATCAGTCAATGCTCAATTCACCACATGGCTGCGAAGCACCAGCGGCGGTGTCTTCAACTCTGTATAAACCCAATCCACGAGGGCTGGCCATCCAGAAACTGAAGACACTTTGGCCGAGTGGTTAAGGCGATGCCCTGCTATCCCATGAGATAACTTCAGGCATTGTGTTCGCACGCGCAGGTTCGAATCCTGCAGGTGTCGATGTACCCTTTTTGCTTCGTATTCTCCCTGCATTTCTTCCTCTTTCCACTCATTCTTCGCTTTGCGTATACTCCGTAAGTTCCCCATAAATGCACGTACGACTAAAGTGACTGTGACCGCCTCTCCGTTGTTCACATGCATGGAGCCTGAGGCCTGAAACATCCGATCGATAAATGTTGAGCGGGCCTTGGCGCTGCGACTTTGCAGAAGTGCTAATACTCCGGTTATTCTCAAAACCTTGATGACGTCCGTTGGGCGATGCATAAGAGGATCTTGCTATCCATTGCGCAAAAAGTGCAGAACTAGTGTCATGTATGTGGTGTTGTGGCAATGGCCAACCGTTCGACACATTGTCCGCCTGCCTCTTATCTCGGGTCTCGAACGAGCTTTGCAGATCCCTAGAGCCGTTACCCCTCTTTGATTCATCCTTCGTTGCTGTGCTTTGTACGGAGCATGTATCAATCACCCTTCTTTTGACCTGGGAGAAAGAACGTCGGGCTAGACAACTTGGCCGACGACCCTGCTGCATCCAGCATATATCCAATCTGAACCCTGCTTGCTTCCGCACGCCGTCCTCGTGATGGAGATGTTTGGCTAAAACGTTGCACCATTCCATAGACCCTCTGCGTCTGCGGCTAGCTTTAACCTGGTTCATAAAGGCCGAAATCCCTGGGACTTGACGCCTACCAGCTGGTAGAAGCACCGCCAGTGTGGCCGGCCTAGCCATGTCTGGTCCTGACTACCATGTTCCCCCACCACACGCCGATGCAGGTGTCGTGGCATCGTCAACCATGCATAGCGGTTCAACCCGCAGCTCCCCCAGAGAGCTCCGTAGATAGCGTCAGTTTCTTGGAGGGCGCCACCCTTGGCCGTTGCCCCACCGTGCCACAAGCCTGCTCAAATGGACTTGGCTGAGGTTACGAGCCGCGCTGACTTTGTCTTGACGAGCCTGAGGATTCCTCCATGTTGATGATCTGAAAAGCTCGTGGACAGCCGCGCCACAGGACTTGAGAGAAGCAGATGATTTGTTTCAAATACTTGCAAGCAGAGCATCAAATCACGTTTGATACACATGTCTTAGTTGTCTTTTCGCTGACTTTCCCGCAACATCAATGGCATTCTCCAGCCGCAGTCCAATCAAGCCCAACGACACAGATGTTGTGATAATCAATTAGTCACTCGTTCTCTGATGGCAGAACGTTAAAACGGTTGAGGAGATGAGCCGACATCCAGGATCCCAGTCAAGACTGACTGCAAGGCATGGCCCCCGAAGCGTCAAGATCTGCGCCTTTACGACCATGATCGTGTTGGAGCTTCCATGTGGTGGATTTTTTTAGGAGGTTTTCATGGTTAGTGCTGTGAGCAATTCGCAGAAGTCTGATGCATCGACATCTCCGCGATTGCTGCTGGGGGATCCCTTTGGATATCCAGCCATTAGAGCCCGTTCCCAAGATATTTCCAAGACACAAGTGGCCGTTGCTCCCTTTGAGCTCGTCCTCTTCTAGAAGAGGTGAGACGTCAGGTACATCTTTTGCTCCACGCTTTGCATCCTGGCAGTAGCCGGCCCAGGCAATAGCCGATTTGTGTATGCATAAGATTTCGGTAATTGCGTGTGATCAACACCCTTCATATCCTTTTACATGATACTCCTCTGCCGTGGCTGGCCTTGTTTCTCACTAATGATGTTTACAATCTCGAATTCGAGCACAGCGCTGAGATGACAAGAGAAGCAGCGAATCCGCTCCCCATCCGTAGCATGGCCGCCGTCGCCGTGGATATTCGTACGAGTACTTGTACGAGCAGAGCCGACTTGACCACAATAGTGGAGTATCACAGTGGTGGCTCCCGAGTATCTGGAAACGCACCGAAGCTTGGCCGCTACAAGCGGCAAGCTATCTGCCTAATGAAATTGCGTTGTCCAATCAGTGGTTGACTTGGACATAGGTTCGCTGGAAGTACCAAGAATGGAGTACGAGTTTCCGTCCTAGTCGTCACCGAGGTGCAGGGGAGGGGTGCAAGCAGGGCGTGCCAGCCACTGAATTACACCAACGCTGGTATGAATAGTACTCGCACATGTAAGTGTGCATACGGAGTACCTGGACGTAGCTGCCAGTCGTATTGCAGGGACTTGTATGCATGACAATTCCTTGAGCGCGTGCCAATGGTTTCTGTGCGGTATCCATCTGCGGTGGTCTCGGCGTGGCAACGAGGGTGAATTAGATGAGCAACTGGGGATGCGGGCGGCCGGTTGACTGGACACCGCTGCCGTCCCTGAGACGGCCGCTTGGAAAGATGTGTATTGAGGTGGTGTCCAAGTACTAATAGTACCTAGTACTACTAGGTAGGTAGTACAAGCAGATGATAGAATGTTTGTTCGAGAAGAATCGAGCAACGCCGGCGACCGGCATCTGCTGAAGCAAGCCTTGTGTTCTTGTTGTTGGGTAAAGGCAGCCTTGGATACGGAGTAATACCTCCCCTACTTCGTAGGGCTCGCAGCAGGAGGACGGATATGGCTAATGGCCTGGGCCGCCCGCCACAAGGCTCCTCCCGTCCTCGCCGGGTCTTTCTTAGTTGAGCTGCATAATTATAACCGCCCCCTAACCTGTGTACCCCCTTTCGGCCCGCAGAAATTCATGAATTGGCACACAATTCAGCGGCGAGTTGATGCGAGGTGATTGACACGCTGCCACGAATAGGCCGCCACGTAGTAGGAGCATGCAGCCGTATGTATATTGATCCATATGGATAGGTATACAAGCAGCCGTTCGTTAACTGGCACCTCGAACAAGTGTGCGAGCACCTTTGCGTCCATGGGTGGTTTCCCAGCTAGCACCAGGTGGGATTAGGCCGGGATGAGACTGATGAACGGTCTTGGGCAGCGAGTAAATTTCCCTGTTCGTTGAAGACCATCGCTACAACCCAAGTCGTCGTTTGTCAGCCCAATATTTTCCATGCATCTCGCTGTTTCCGTCCGCTCAAAAGGTCCATGGGATGCGGCTAGTATTCGGCTACTGTGAGTGTGTGAGGTCGCGCTTGCGTAGCACTGTCGAGGGATGGCGCCTGTTTGCCTCTACAGGGATCCTGGACGCGAGCATGTATACAAGAGACCCACAGAAGCGCAGCACCGTCGGAGTTACTTCGTACGTGCCAAGTGTGTACCAAGCATGAAGTAGGGAAAAGGAGTGCAATGTCAAAGAGAGGTCTCGAGAGACTGAGCTATAGCGACGCCTGCATTGGACTGCCGGTGGATGGTGAAAACGCTTGCTGAGGACTGCATCATGGCTCGGTTATCAAGACAGAAGTGTATAGCCACCCCTAGCACTGGGTAGCAGCACGGCAACCTACTAGCAACATGACGAGTCTAGATTCTTGTGAGAATTGGTGGTATCTGACCTGTTCATCTCTTCTTCTCGATTCCATATCACTATGCGTTAGTATTGTGTAATTTGTCGGTTCCGCCGAACACCTGCCAACTTGTAGATGCCTTGTAGTCTCAGCAGTGTTGTTGGGTTTGTATAAGGGTTTAGCCCGGAGTACTCAATTTGAAACGTGGCTTACCAGTCAAAGCGTGAATTGATGCCCAGAATCTTTCAAATGGCTGGGCGAAAAGGGGAGGAGATTGTCCAAGGTAGAGATCGGAAGAGATGCAAATCCCAACTGCGTTTGGGAATCAAAAGTGAAAGGCCAACACGAAGTACTACACTTACCGTCATGGGTCCTTGGCGGGAGTTGCTACCCTAGTAGACGATTGCATGAATTAGTTACCAGCCTGGGTGTGAATAGTTGTCGATGACAAAGGGGAGGGTATCAAGTAAAGGGAAGGCTAACGAACTGGACTCAGCGCCTCAACCACGATCTAGAGGTCACTCTCTAGCCGATCGAGTTTTGACAAGGTGACCTGGTACTTGGGACAAGTTGTTCAGCTTAGCGAGATGATACGTCGTGCTCTGTCTGCCCGGAGATTTGAGCAAAGCCCATGAACACTTTGGGGGGACTGTAACTGTACTGGTGAGTCTATCGACAGGGCGACTAGGTAAAGTAGCACCTACTGGGTACCGGTCCCCTGGACTGGCTGACGCCCCCTAGAGTTAGGTACCTGCTGTACGGACACTCACCGCGCTGCCATCAATGCCGATCATCTCAACGTGAGGCTGTCTGAGCTGTCTGGAGCGTAATCGGTGATTACGGAGAGCTATACGAGATTGCGGCCGAACGAATTCACTGCATCCTCGTTAGCCGCGATCGAATACTCGTACACTGTTGTGCAGCTAGAATCAGGCCACCCTGAATCCCGTAGGCCATGCAAGGGAGTGGGACAACTGCTAGAGCACCTACTTACTACTCCGTACTTGCCTGTAGTTAGGTGGTAATAGCTCAGCGGCGCCCCTGAGCGAATCGCCATGTTGCCTTCAGCGCCTCAGAAGAGCCGGTGGCGCCTCAGGGTCCAAGTCACGCTGCATCAATCGTCGGTGGGCATCGAAATGGCGAGGCTGGCCATACCGTGCAAAATTGGCATCTCGAGATGATGATGTGGGATGAAAAGTTCTGCCTGATGTTGATTTGCCGTTTGGTCTAGTTGCAGTCTTTGCGCGCCGCTCTTTCCTCAAAAGCCCATTCACTCTAGGGACTAAAGTCACGAGTTTCACCCACCGCCTTCCTCGCTTCGTATCTTGCTTCGCCAGCACAATCCTTCCCCTTCCATCAATATTCAGGAATCCAGCATTCCCACGACTATTTACCATCTCACCGTCTTTTGCACCAACTCAATCAGAGACCGCTCTGTAATTCATATCCTCATCTGTCTCATCCAAGTCCAGCTCCCCGCTCAAGAATTGCGATGTGAACAGCTAGCGCTTCCTTCAGCTTCCTTCAGCTTCGTTTAGGTCGCTGTCTAACCAATTCAATTCTTGGCTGAGCATAGTATGGCTTCGGTTTGCCTCTATCTACGGCCTACAGGTGCGGTGGCATGGCAGATGGTAAAGCAAATGTGATTTGTCGTT